AGTAAAAAAGTAGCAGAGTGTGGAAAGTGGCGAGTGTCTAAGCCTATAGCAGCCAAACTACAGAGAACTCTGGGTGACCTAACCTCTTAGATGGAGGTGTGGGAGGCAGGGCGAGGGAAAACTGTCTTTGCCGACTGTATTCCTCGCTGCACACTCCACCTCCCTCTACTCCCCACTTGACCAAATCCTGGGCTAACATCAGAATTTAACCATAACCCTATTAAATAAAAATGGCTTAAGCCTAGTCTTAAAAGTAGACAAGATGTCTGCCTCACTGACTAAAGCTGGGAGCTGGTTCCATAGGAAAGGAGCCCGGTAATTAAAAGATCTGCTTCCCATCCTATTTTTAGATAGGAACCACCAGTAAACCTACAGTCTTAGAATAAAGTGCTCTTTTAGGAACATATGGAACAATCAGACCACTGATGGAGCTTGATTATTAAGAGCTTGTGTTGCCATGTGCGGAGCTTCTGAAAATCCATTCTGAACTTAACAGGCAGCCGATGTAGGGACGCTAAAATGGGAGAGATGTGATCTCTGTTTTACTTCTTATGTTCTTCTTGCCCTCCATTGACAGTTGTTTGTTGATAGTTTCTCTGTCAGGGTGGGAAAGAAATGCTAGTTTTTCCTGACAGGACATTACTCCTTTCACTCTAAAGAATCAGTTCTGCTGGTCACCAGGATTGGGGGCCACGAGGTTTTCTTTCTTCAGTCTATTAGCTCAGTCAATGAATTTTGAGCTGAAATTGTGTCAAATGTGAGATGAGATTTTTTAGGTAAAAGCTTTACGTGACTAAAGCTCTGTGTGAAACAAAGAACCACTAAAACCATAGAACATGTTAGAGTTTAGGTTTTATCAAACTTGGAAAGTAGTAAAACCCACAACTGACAGCTGGATCCTGCTCGTTTCACTAAATGTATGTACATCTAAAACACATTTTCTGATTGATTTTCACGTCATTCTATCAAATTACCAGGTGCTATTTGTTACAATTAACTGGCGAGTTTACCCCTTGGATGCCAGTCATTTTTGTAGTCACCAGATGTGCAGAGATGTTTCAAGTGTCCGATAAGAAAAGAATAGCCTTTTTTGTCATTATAACCCAAGGTACAACTGAAGTCTGTTTGGTTGTTCTTTTTCTTAACCCCATATAACTATCAATAGGAAATGAAGGTATTTTTAGTCGGTTTTGTTAAATGTCTTAAAAAAAATCATGATTTACATCTCTCGTAGGATTTCCTTCTTGCTATTATTATATAGAAATTACGCTTTGTTCTGATTACATAACCGTCACGGTCAGGACGGAGGAGGTGGAAAGCAAAATGCAGAACCCAGAACGACTCAAGGCAGGAGAAGTTTTCAAAAAATAAATCTTTTAATTAAAAGGATGACGTGCCAAAAAACCAAAGGGCACTAAAAACGAACCAACCTCAATCTTACCGAAAACAAACAGAAAACTCATTCGTGGGAACGGAACACGCTGACGAATGCAATGACCCAACAAACACAAAGTGACGAGACAAGGCTTATAAACAGGAGGGAGGTAATCAGGGGAAACAGGTGACAGGTGTGAGGAGTGTGAGCTGAGGAGAAACTGGTGGAATCAATTAACTAAATGGGAAGGGAATGAGCTTGACAGGAGGGCAGATCAACATGAACCTATAAACACGTGGATCTAACTAAACCTAAAAGACAGAGGGCAGAATAAACCACTAATAACCAGATAGGTGAGGAGAACTAATCTAAAGACAACTAGGGAAACCAAGGAGTGACTAGGACACAAGAGGAGAGCCTGGAGTGGGAACAGGAGGGGGCTGGGGAACAAAAAGACACAACATGACACATAACATTCCACACACGATCTTCCCTATATCTCTTCCATTTCCCCCAGTTTTTAAGAAATTGCTCAATTTTAAAGTTTGAGCAATTGTTGAAAGGGTGTCACTCAGATCTATATAGTACAAAAATCTCATTTTAATTTTTGACCAGTTATCAAAGAAATTAATTCTACCATCTCATTCCAGTTTGTTGGATTACTGGACAATTCCAAAAAATGTGGAAACGATCTGTCCAATCTTCGCCACAATGTCTCCAACAGTGTCCATCTCTCAGCTGACCCTTTTGTTTCCACTTTAATTTAGGTGTAAAATATCTGATGAAGGTCTTCCATGTGTTGAGTAAGAAAGCCATGTATGCCAAAGGTCATCAGACATTAAACTGTCCACAGCCATCTTCATCAGTGTGCTAAGGGTTAACTGTCTGGTTTCCAAACCAGAACGCATTCTGTTTATGACCTCGCCACCGGGAGACAGCCACAACAAAATCCCTGCTCCTTCATTATCTGCTGAATTCAATTCAATTCAATTCAAGTTTATTTAAATAGCGCCAAATCATGACAAGAGTCGTCTCAAGGTGCTTCACATAATAAACATTCCAATACAGGTCAGTTCATTAAGCCAATCAGAAAAAAGTTTCCTATATAAGGAACCCAGCAAATTGCATCAAGACTTTACAGCAATCCTCATACTAAGCAAGCATTTAGCGACAGTGGAAAGGAAAACTCCCTTTTAACAAGAAGAAACCTCCAGAGGATCCTGGCTCAGTATAAGCAGCCACTGGGGATGGAACACACACACACACACACACACACACACACACACACACACACACACACACACACACACACACACACACACACGCACACGCACACGCACACACACACACAGTCACAAGGCTCCTTCAGATGACAGAACTCTGACTTTGATACTTTAATAAAAAGAATCTTATTCTGACATATACAGTGAATTTCTCACATTACAGGTTAATTACAATTACATAGAATAATGAATGTTTGATCTAAAGTGATGTAATAAGTCTTGATTGCTTGACAATAATAGATGAATCAAAATAACTGTTAATTGTTGAAAAGCATCTTAATTACACCAAACAAATATTCTTGATGATTTAATGGTGAATTTGTTATTATTAATATTAGTATATAAACAAATGAATGTTATATTATATTTACTTCACATACTAAGCAAAATATTCCTTTCACTGGGTTTCTTAGAAAGGTGTGACGTCTGAGGACTTTGTTAAGGCCTCCTAAATTTTCTGGCCTCTGATTGGTCCAAAACCAGACCCTTAAAAGAATAGGCACAAGCCCTGTTCCTCAGTGTTCCAGCCACATGCTAAAGTAACCATCTCTTGGGAGATCAAGCCAGATATTTCAACGGAATATTTTTAGTGGCATAGAACCAACTTTTTCAGGATGAAACCATTATTTGTGTTAACCTGCACCAACTGCAAACAACACGCCAACCTCACCAGAGAGCAGATTCAAGGGGCCTATGACCTTTGAACTCCCAGAAGCCTAAATAACTCGCTACCGCGCTGAGCCGACTTCACTGCCCGCAGTATCTCCCGAGAACTCTCACTACACTGGTAACGTAGGCGTTGGAAGGGTTAAGATAAGTTCCCTGGCAAACTCAAATTACCTATTTCCAGTGTCGATTGGATGATAAAGGTTCAATAATATTCCATAATTTTATGAAACATTACATATTGTTGAATACCACTCATATTTCATTGACAGTTTATTAATTGTGACCACTTACAAAATGTTACACACATTATTTCCAGTAGCCATAAGCTAATAGTTTTCATCTGTGTTCCACATTTTTTTAACCAGCTTTCTTCAGATATTTAGCCTCCATCTCCTATCTAATTTTAACATAAGTACTGACCAGGTTCTGGTAAATTTTAGCTATCAATTTATTCTTAATCTTACCCTTAGGCTTCTATTACATGAAGAATTAGGCCACTGCTATGTTCTTCCGTAGTTTTTATGTGGCTGTTATAGTAAGACCTCACTTCCTGATACATGGACGTAATTTTTTTTTTGGGGGGGGGGGGGACAGGGGGGACATGTCCCCCCCACTTTTTCCAAAGTCAAGTTTGGACCCCTGCACTTTTTACCATCCAAAAACAATATCATGCTATATAAAACTGACACTGGTTGAACTCTAGGACCAAGCAGAAAACAACTGTTTGTGTTGAAGCCTGTTTCCCATTAGAACATACTGTAAAGATTCCCCACCCCCCACCCCTTGTCCCCCCTACTTCTAAAGTGAAAATTACGTCCATGTCCTGATATCAGAAGAAATCTTGTTTTTCCAAGTTGCGTCTTTTAATTTTTCAAAGCTGTATCGTCGCTCTGGTCCTGAAATCAAGCAAAACGGTCCGATCCCCCTTGTTGACCAGATTGCAAAGCATTTATCTATTTGGCGTGGGGTAAAATCTTTATCATGTGAGCCGTCTGAGTTGTTTTATATGGGCGTCTGGCTTAGCATTTTCATGTTCTTTAAACCAAACCTTCAAAGATGTTTTTGTCCATTTGTTTATATAATTTTTCTGATCCAAATTTAGTTTTTATCTCCTAATATTGTCTGCAGCTGTGATTTTAATTGGCTAAAATCTAGATATTTCCATTTTGCCTCATGTGTGGAATAATCACACAAGTGAATTGAATATCTCAGTTGTGCAGCTTTTAACACCCCCTTCCTTTGGTATTTGCAGTGTTTTGTATTTTACTCTAGGTTTCCAATTATATCTTGAAATCCTTCTGTTCCATAATGCAAATTTTTGGTTGGTATGTCTGCCAGTATTGATTGAAAAAGAAAAAAAAACTATTTTGGAAGTGTATATTATATATATATGCACATGCTTTTCTCTCCCCTTTTCAAAGTGTGACTTTTCTTGAATATTGAAATAATGTTATTAATTTAAATTCTTAACTTAAACTTTAACTTAAAAATACAAGTTGTATTGATATAAATGTGATGAAACACTTGGGAGTTGTTTTTATTTTAATCTTCAGGATTATTTTCCCAGCTTTGAACCAAATTTGTTCTGTGTTTGAGAACAAAACATAAAGGTGTCCGAGTCTAAGCTGATGAGGGAAGCCAAAATCATTCCACAGATAGTGAAAACGCTCCAGTAAAATCTCAAAAAGCTGCTTTATTATCAAAATTCATCAAACTAAACATCGTGTTAGTGTAGATCTGATCACCATCAGCTTTAAAGGAACCAGATCCAGGTTCAGAAATAGTCTGTCTTTCTGAGGGAATCCTGAACTTCCTGTTGTTGGGATTCGTTTAGAGGTGAGTGTGAAATATTCCATCATTCGGAATAAAATATATTAGTCTAGCTGGAGGCTCCACAAACAGTCAGGAAACACATCTTCTGGAAGAACTGGTCTCAGTAGGGCTCAGCGTTTGGGTTTACGGTTCTCAGCAGGAGGCTAGCCTGTGGTTCTCAGAAGATCTGGTGCCCCAGTTAGTTTGTGTTTTCTTTACACTACCTTGATGAAACCAAAACAAAAGCCTTCTCTGAACTTTGACTTAAATTAACAATAAAGTGGCACCAGTGCCATCAGCTGCAGTTCAGGATTATAGCTCGGGAATTCGCAGCTGGAACTGATGGAGGTCTTTATGGTCTCTGATGTAAATCCTTGTCCTTAAGAATGGAAACAGTGAAAATGGTTTTTCTTTGTTTTGTTTTGTTTTTCCCCCAGAAGGCACTGCTACATGTGGTTTAATAGTTCTGGTTCCACATCGGTGTTCAGTTCTTCCAGAAGTTCGGGTTCTGCACCAACCTCCTCTGGAAGTTCTCGTACCATTTGAGGATGCAGCTGAAGGGGATGAAGGTCTCTGTGGGGTTCGGGGTCATCTGCGCCTGAGTCAAGGCGAACGATGAGGCGAAGTTGTAGAGACTGTCCAGCATCTTCTGGGTGAACTGCAGGAAGGAGTCCACGGTCGACACGGCGGCGCTGGCGACCGGGATCTGCTGAGCGAGCTGTTCCAGAGACTCCACCGACACCCCGAGCTGAGCCACGGACGGGGAACCGCCGGCGCCCATCGCTCCGAACGGGTGCGCCCCTCCCTCGCCGGATTGCAGCCCGGAGATCTTGAAGATGGCGCTGGGTTTGTCGTTGGTGATGAAGCCGAGCAGCTGCCACACCGGGCTACCGCTCACCGGGTCTGGGAAGGAGAAGTAGACGGCTCCACCCATCCCGGAGGGGAACGGCACAGTCCCCAGCATGAATACCACCACGTGCTTCACGTTCTCGTAGTCCGCCAGATTGAACACAAACTTGTCCGATGCGACCTGCAGCGCATCGGTCTGCACCAGTCTGCCAGCGACCAAACACCCGAACATCGTGCTCTGTAGGAGGGCAGCTACACCGCTAAGTACCAGCTGGGTCGGTGGAGGGAGGTTAACCACAACAAACAACAACTCTAGAAATTTCTTCTTCTACAAATACCAGTAGTCACTACGTAGATGTATGAATAATAGAAGTTCGCTTCACCCACCACGGCTCAGTGTACGCCATCTTGGGACGGGATAGTGCTCAATTTAAATCCTGTCATAGATAATCTTTATTGACAGACACTTAGGTCCAGATAAAATATATATAAAACAACAGATCAATGAAACAAAATATAAAAATAGAAATAAAAAGATAACAGCATAAAATTGAATAAAAATCTAAATGTAATTTAAAAACTTTACTATAAACTGTTCCACACAAGATTAACCACACAAACACTTCAACCAGTGTTTCATTATACTGGACAAATAGCGACAACTGCTCACAGTAGGATCAGTGATTGCTAAAATTATACTGTTGGCAGAGCTATCCAGTCGGCCTGTAAAAGTGAATATGAGTTTTCTTAAAAGTGCTTTAAAAACTGTCAGTCAAGATTTATTCACAAGTTAAACCTGCACGGCTTCAGTCTTTTGTAAATTGTCAGTCGTGTATTTATTGTATATAATGCTTAATAAAAACAGAGGGTATTATAATCTGCCATGGTTTAAAAGTGCAAGCCATGTGGCTCTGGATTTAGATTTTTTCTTTAAAGGTGTGTGTTGGCTGAATATTTCTGTTAATGAGATGGTTAAGGTTTCAGTTTCACCAGAACTTAGTGACACCAGATATACATATTTTTTATTTGAAACACTGGATTACAGCATGCATTTTAAAATTAAACAGCCTGTAATGTTTAGGTATTTTATCTTTAAAGTATTTTATGATATTTTAATTTAATTTATCTTTTATCTATTTTATCTTATTTTATATTAGACCAATGTCTCTGTTAATAGAGTTCATATATTCTAGCTAGCCCAAACTCTGGAGTCTCAGGCCAAACCAAACTGCATACGTCTCATGCGCAGATCTGTCTATGGTCGCATGCCCAGAAGCTCCTGCTTCTTCTTTTGGGTTTCTCAACAGCTACCAAAACAATTTAAAGGTGCTCTAGCGCCACCCATTGGTTTTTGTGAAATAAACAAGGACAACCGTTGTAGAAAACAGTTGTAACATTTATTATCTAAATGAGCTGCAGAAAAAGGTAATAAGTGCAGATTGTAAAAACAGCACCAAAAAAATAAGAACGTTACAGTAGGGAAGCTTTTGGCAATTGCATGGTGTTTTTTTTAAATATAGTGTCTTTTAAGATAAAAAAAATCACACAGTGCTTCACAAGCACAAAAAACATTTTAAAATGGATAATAATAACAATAATATATTTAAATAATTATGATAAAAAGAATAAAAATGGTTTAGGGTTTTTTTGACAAGTCGTAATCAATCAACCAGTCAATCAAAAAAATATTTTGTATATAATATATGTAATGTGTGTGTGTGTGTGTGTGTGTGTGTGTGTGTGTGTGTGTGTGTGTGTGTGTGTGTGTGTGTGTGTGTGTGTGTGTGTGTGTGTGTTCATACTCTCTGAATCATCTGTGCAGAGTATGGACTAGAAGCCCCAAGATCAGAAGGTGGTAACATCCCCGTTGAGAACGAAAGAGCCAAGCTCCGGTGGGACTTTCAGATCCAGACTGACAAAATGGTGAACCAGCAAGAGTGGTGGACAAACAACAGAGGACAGCTGTTGTGGTTGATGTGGCAATACCAAGTAATGGCAACACACGCAGACGACACAGTGCATTTGGGACCCAAATGGACACATAATATAACTAGTATATGGGTGTCAGAATCTCAGCTGGATTGTAGGTGTAACTACAGGGGTCCAACAAAGAATGGCCACGCATCATACTGATGTCTTCGGATGTTTATTTTGCTCTCTCTCTCTCTCTCTTATTATCTTCAGACACCGTGAAAACTGAAGAAACACAAAGTTTACACAATAACGGTTTGAACTTATCAGTCTCTCATACCATTGTCCATAAACAGTCTCGTGCAAGCAGAACAGAAAGAAAATGCGCAATAATGAATCACAAAATGTCCTCTCATTAACAGTGTAGAACACATATGCAACATTATACAAACATTATACATGAAACCATACCGTGTGCGCCTCTTGGACCACATGCAGAATGACATTAACGTCGAGGCTGTAGACGCATCTGTAGCTATGTATCCATGCTATGGTTGCTATGGTAGCGCTGTCAAACAAACTCTGATCATGTGACCATTACAAACTCTACCTCATACAAACTTTACAGCACGTTACATATTTAACAAACCCATATTTGTAATCATATATTTTAGACATGTTTTTAAATCAATGTTACACTTTTATCATCTTATCTAGTAATTAAATGAACCAAATTAAGCATCTCTCTATCACAGAAACATTTGAAATAAACAACTTTATTTTAACTGTCTCAGGGACAGTTACAGTAGGGAATAATATTTCATAAACACATAGATTAGTTTAACTTCAAATTGATGTTCTTTTCCTTTTCTTGTTTTAGTTTTGGGGATGGGGTGTATTTAGGTTAATATTTTGTCTCTTTCAAAGAGAAGCTGCCAGAAATTATAAACAGTTGTTCTTTCTTGTAAAATGGTTTAATAACTGTACGGGGTTACAAATGTACCAGCTATGGCCATTATATTCAAAAAATAATAATAAGAAGAAAAGATATTTTCTGCCTCTCAAAATAAAAATCATGAGGCGCTTAAAAATAATTAGACTTCAGTTAATTTTAAGCTCTTTTACGTTTCTGAGTTCTAATAAATCTAAGCAATTTGTTTTGATCCTCTTTGGTGTGCTTTTAAAAATTAAAAATAAACACTAGCAGAACCATAAACAATAACAAGGAGTCAGGACTTGAATCTGGTATTTCCGAGCTTAGCTGTGTCCCTGAACGCAGCAGAGCACGCTCAGCTCTCCAGTTCCCTTCGGTCCGGTGGGCGCTGTGTACCGGCCTTTGGACACCTCCTGGGACCCGTTACCGAAGAAATGGGACTTTCTTGATTTAACACCCGACACCAGTTAAAGATTTGATTCGATTTGAATGCTAAAAACCGGGTTTCATACAAAGGCCTGTGCCTTCTGCACGAAGAAAAACTTCGCCCTCCAGGTAAGTTGGGAGCCTGGGCCGCGTCGCTTGCCGTGAATGTCCATTGGTGTGTCGCGGCCTTGCGGCTCTCCCGGAACTCAAGACCCGAGGCTCTTACATGAACATATAGGCCACAAGCCGCATTGAGTCATTTAACGGGAATTAACGACAGATTGAATTGGCATCGACTGTCGTTGTCTGTGCTTTTGTTAAAACTACGTACGCTGAGTTAGTCTGTTATGCGTAACGATCACCAACACACTCCGACTTAGACCTACCAGCGGCATTGCTAACGCAAGATAACTTGCTAACATTAACAACTATTATCGTTATTTGAGCGTTGTGGATTAATGTTATAGACATTTAAATTCAGTTTTAGTTTGCCGTAGCAGCCATTGAAAGCAGCTATATGTTAATAGTGAATTGCTAGAACGCTAACAGCTGGTACTACTATTTAGGATATTTTAAATGCCAGGACAGCTAACTAGTGTCACCAAACTACATCCCTATCCTCTTATGTTGTTGGCTGTTAGGGCTCCTTTAACCCCGGTAGCTCTGTCAGATGGGTCCTATGCCTTCTCAGTCATCTCAAAACAACACCGTCAGTTACGATTTACTGGCTTTGTTCGGATTGAAGATCCAAACTTCAGCTGCTTACTAGTTATTGTGCTGTTTTTCTGACTACGACAGCCCCAGCTCTTATTTCAACAACAAGCTTTCCACTTAAAACCAATTGTATACATTGTTAAATCCACTAATTCACTTTGAATAAATACTACTTTTAACGCTTCTAAAAAAAGCTAATTTATTTAGTTGTTTTATTCTTAGTTTTTATTTTTACTATCAACTTCAATATGTTCTTATGAAAGTAAAGAACTGATTACAGCATGACAATAATATAAATAATCTCTTTAGTTACGTATTTGAAATCTGTTGTCAAGACTGAAGTTATCACAAATTGTTGTTGGTGTGTTGGATTTATAAACTGGAAGGTTTAGGTATGAAGAACTTTGATTTAAAATTTGTTTTAGCTTTTGTTAGATTTTAGTTAGGGTAATTTAAACATAATTATTTTTAGGTAATCAGTAGTTATATATTTTGATTATATTTATTCATAGTTATGAGTTGAGAATTAGTTTAAGTCTATTTACTTTACTTTTTGATATGAACTAGTTTTGTGGAAATATTCAGTTTGCGCTGGTGCTGCAAATTCTTAAAAATGCTTGGATATCAATGTGGTTTTTTCAAGATTTTAAAAGTGGTGGAACTTCGCATTAAGAATATGAAGATTTACAAACATTGCTATCATACTGAGTGCAGGATGGCGCCGCAGATGGCAGCCTCGGTACATTGCTCTCTTTTGTTTGTGTAGTTTTTGTATATTTTTTTGGAAATCAGCGATGCAAAACGGATTACTTTCAGTAGAGATGAACTACTGTGTATCAGGCAACAAACGGATTTTCAACAATTTGAGGACCCGGGGAGTTTATTGGAAGTTTTGATCGGAGGAACTGCCGTTTGTTGGAGAAGGAAACGCAGGAGGGGTAAACGAGCAGGAGCGCTGGTGAGACTCCGCCAGCGGGGATTTCGTATGCCTCTCCCAGCAATGCACCTAGCGAACGTCCGATCCCTACCTAATAAAATGGACGAGCTGCTCCTTCTGAACAGGACTAACCGAGATTTTGCACACTCCGCTGCCCTCTGCTTTATTGAAACGTGGCTCAGTGACTTGACTCCTGATAATGGATTATACCTGTCCAGGTTTTGTTTACATCGCGCAGACCGGGAAAAAGAGCTATCAGGGAAGACGAAAGGAGGTGGAATCTGCTTCTACATTAATGAATGTTGGTGTACAGACGCTACAGTTCTCAGTAAACATTGTAGCTCAAACTTGGAGACAATATTTTTGAACTGTAAGCCGTTTTACTCCCCGCGGGAAATATCATCATTCATTTTGATTGGAGTATACATACATCCTCAAGCAGATGTGAGTGTTGCATTGCAGACTCTCGCCGATCAAGTTACCTCCACAGAGAACCAATACCCAGACTCAGTGCTCATTATTTTGGGTGATTTCAATAAGGCTAAACTTAATATCGAACTACCGAAATACAGACAGCACATCAGATGTCCGACTAGAGGCAAAAACATACTGGATCATTGCTATACAGTTCTTAAAGGGGCATACCACTCTGTCCCTCGTGCAGCTCTCGGCCTCTCTGACCATAATTTGATTCATCTTATCCCCACTTATAAACAAAAACTAAAATCTGTAAAGCCAGCCATCAGGACAGTGAGGAAATGGACAAATGAAGCAAAAGAGGAGTTACAGGACTGTTTTGATTGTACAGACTGGAGAGTATTTGCAGATGCCACCGGTGATCTGAACGAGCTAACAGACACTGTGACATCCTACATCACCTTCTGTGAGGAAGTGTGTGTTCCAACAAAGACTTTTCGCACCTTTAATAACAACAAGCCATGGTTTACAGCGACACTGAGCCAGTTGAGACGGCAAAGGAGCAGGCTTATAGGGCAGGAGACAGGCCTCTGTACAAATCACTCAGGAACACGTTGAACAAGGAGATCAGAGCTGCTAAAATTAAGTATGCAGCAAAGCTGAAAAACCAGTTTACAGCCAACAACCCCACATTATTGAGTATGTTTACATGCAGCCAATATCCGGGTTATGATCGGGTTAAGGTCGGGATTCAGGTTTCTGAGTTGATCAGAATAACCCGTTTACAAGCATAAATAGAAAGAGTTACCTCTAACTTGCATAACCAGATTTAACTGCGGATGTTGGGGTAGCGTCAGGACGTATGGACTACGTCCAGACCCAATATGCGTCATTTCCGGTTCTTCTTCTGGTATCCGTGAAAACATGTTTCCCAGTTCGGAAGAGATAGCGACCGCGTTTGTTTGTGCTTTAGTTTCCTCGTCACTCAAAGTGTGGTGCAGTGCCGCGACTCGCCATTTTGCCCCCAACTTGTTGTTAACTTCCGGTGTTCTGGCGCGTACAAGACGTCTCGCTACTCAAAAGACCAAGATTCTTTGCGAACAGAGCATGCGCAGAACACACGCTTTGATGGGGATATCCCGGTATGCGTTTACACGACCAAACATTCGGGTTAGAAAAGGGTTACCCCAGGTGTAGTAACCGGGTTTTTAAAAACCCGGTTATGAGCGTATCAGGGTTTTTGGCGGTGTTTACAAGGACCTGTGGAACCGGGTTATTGTGAATATTCGGGTTTTAAAAGGGTTACTGGCTGCATGTAAACGCACTGAGTGTGGAGAAACATTCAGCACATTCCCAACTATAGGAGACCATCCTCCATTTCTGATGCTAATCATGGCCTTGCTGAGGAGCTAAATGGCTTTTACTGTCGCTTTGAGGAAAGGAATGTCACACCCCTCCTCCACTTCAGCATAGCGGCAGCCGCCACCCCTCACCTGGAAACTCTTACTCCTCTTTCCTCCAAATCACAAGCTGCGTTCCTTGTGAAGGAAGAGGATGTCTGCAACATCTTTAGGAGACAGAACGTACGGAAGGCACCAGGCCCAGATGGAGTAACTCCTTCCTGCCTAAGGACCTGTGCTGTCCAACTAGCACCTGTCTTCACAACGATATTCAACAGGTCGCTGGAGCTGTGTGAGGTTCCATCATGCTTCAAAAGCTCCACTATCATCCCAGTACCCAAGAAATCCTCCCCTACAGAATTGAATGACTACAGACCCGTGGCTTTGACATCAGTAGTCATGAAGTCCTTTGAGCGCTTGGTGCTGTCCCATCTTAAAAGCACCACAGGCCACCAGCTGGATCCCCTGCAGTTTGCCTATAGGGCAAACAGGTCAGTGGATGATGCAATTAACATGGGGCTGCACTTCATCCTGGAACATCTTGATCAACCAAGGACCTACGTAAGGATATTGTTTGTGGATTTTAGCTCTGCTTTTAACACCGTTATACCAGAAATCCTCACCTCAAAGCTTTCTCAGCTCACTGTTTCCCCTGCCATGTGTCAGTGGATTTCCAGCTTCCTGACAAATAGGAGCCAGCATGTGCGGTTAAACAATGTTACGTCTGGCACAAGGCTGATCAGCACCGGTACACCACAGGGGTGCGTCCTTTCTCCACTGCTCTTTTCATTGTACACCAATGACTGCACCTCTAATGACTCAGCTGTAAAAATCCTGAAATTTGCAGACGACACCACTGTCATTGGGCTCATCCAGGATGGTGATGAGTCTGCTTATCAGTGAGAAGTTGAGAGGCTGGTGGTCTGGTGTAGTCAGCACAATCTTGAACTTAACACCCTTAAGACTGTGGAGATGGTCGTGGATTTTAGGAAGCTTCCCACAGTGCTGCCCCCCCTCACCAACAGCCCAGTGTTAATGGTGGACTCATTCAAGTTCTTGGGAACTATCATTTCCAGGGATCTGAAGTGGGAAACAAACATCAACTCCATCGTCAAAAAGGCTCAGCAGAGGATGTATTTCTTACGGCAACTAAGGAAGTACGGCCTACCACAAGAGCTGCTGATCATCTTCTACACTGCTGCAGTCGAATCCATACTTTGCTCATCCATCACTGTCTGGTTTGGGTCAGCCACAAAAATGGACAAATGCAGACTACAGCGTATTATTAAAACAGCAGGAAAAATCATTGGTGCCCAACTGCCCTCTGTCCAGGAACTGTACATCAGCAGGACCAGGAAAAAGGCAGTGAATATTGTCCAAGATGCCACACATCCTGCATCTACTCTCTTCCATCTCCTCCCATCTGGCAGACGCTATAGATCGCTGTACACAAAAACTACCAGACACAAGAACAGTTTCTTTCCTTCAGCCATTTCTCTCCTTAATCTGTAGATTATTTTACCATCCTTTTATTATAGTTTTTAATACTTATTCAGTATGCTTATGGACATGTGTGTGTGTAAATGAACGTGTGTGGGCATACATGTTCTTATGTGTTTTTAGGTATTTTTATTCTCATTTATTGTGGTTGTTGTATGTTT